AGACGGGAGGGCCAGAGCGAGGAGGAGGAGGTGTTGCGTTTCTTTTTTCCATCAGTGTATATATATAAATCGTATCATTTTCAGCAAAAAGGTAAACTGAGTTCTTTATGTTCTGATAAAGGCGTCTTGCAGAACAATCAGCTTTTGTAGAAAAGAAAGTGACAGAATTTATGACAGAATTTATGCTGTAGGTTTGATCAGCGTGAAACCTGATGTAAAGGGGTTGCTCCACTTCATCAAACCTCAGTTAACTAATTTAACCTCAGTCAAGTCTGATCTTGAGCAATTTCCATGACTCAGAACCAGTAGCATAACCAGACAAGTTTGTCCACACAGCTTTTTGCACGTATGATGCAATATGTCTCTGTGTGTTTTGTCGTCAGTCACTCTTGTGTCAGAGAAGGCAGGATGTCCTGTAAAAGCCCAAAGTGACAACAGTCCCCTCAGCCCTCTTCCTCCTCACTGTTGAATAAGGAGGAAGACCGTGACGGGACGTGCTCTGGTGAGCCCAGAGACCGGAAGATGTGCTGCGCTCTGGATACCAAGCACCTTCTGTGCCCTGACAAGTGTGTCACTGTGCACATGTGGTCATCCTGCCTGCATTCACAGCAGAAATTCTGGTAGAAATGATGTTTTGACTCACTACTGTCTGGGGAGAGATGGCAATTCTTGCTGTAACATTCTGAAGTCGCCTGAGAGGTTCATGTTTACAGTATAGGCCTTGAAAGACAAATGTGCAATTAAAGTACCAGCTGAACAACTGGAAGCCCAGCTGGATCAAAGACCAGGACACAGGAGACCTGGATAATATATTCACACGCTCACCACTACATTATCCTTCAGAACATCGGGCGTGGAGTTTGTGTATAGCAGCTTTTATTTTTTTCTTTGTCTACCTGAAGCTACTTTTAAAGGTGCTATATAAAATATAGTGTTCCTACTCTATCTTAACAGAGGAATACCTCAAGAAACTGAATGGGATCCTCAAATCTATTAGCCACAAGCAATCAAACAGACTAGACAGGCGAAATAAGCTCTCCTGGTTTGTGACGTTTCTGCTGTTCCTGTGTTCTCTGTGTGCACCAAGAGCCCATGATGCAACACCAGCCCCTGAACGCTGGGTTTTCCCCACCACTCACACGATTTCTCAATGTCTCCAGTTTCTGTCAAACTTCCTGCGGCCCCTCACCTGGTCTTGCTTAATCAGGATACACAGGGGCCATGGACAGTCCCAGACACGAGCAAACCAGCAGACACCAGTGCAGGACTCCTGTTGCTTCTTCTGCTGGTTCCTGATTCATACTTTCCAGGCCATTCCGGTGGCTGAAAACTGTTTGTCTGACAGTAGTTTGCCACAGATGCCTTAATACCTGAACTCTCTGGATACAATGCACACTTTCGGTACTATAGGTTCAGTTAACTGTCTATAACATACTTCACTTAATGTTCTTTTGTGAACAGTGCAATATAACTGTAAGGAAAAGTGCTATATAAGTGTAAGGAATAATTATTATTCCTCTTAATTGCTCACTTTCTTCACATAATGCGAAGAAGAAAAGTGTCCCTTCTAAACACCCTTTATCAGGCTTCAGTATGATGCCTTAACTGTGCCAAGAATGCACTTTCCCCTGCTGGGGCAGCGTGATTTGGAGGGGCTTCACAAAGTGACAGACAAAGGCTCAAGAACTGTTCAGACAGTGTCTAGGCTCACAGGCTGTGACCTGCCATCTCTGGCCACACTGTGCAGCAAAGTGACCTCCAGGGAGGCCCAGTGTGCTGCAGGACACTGACCTGCCCAGGTCACCCCCAGGCTGCCAGCTCTCCCCCTCTGGGAGACACTGACCTGACCTGCTCGACCAGCTGCTTCTCCCTACAGCCACGAGCGCTGGTCATGCCAGGGCTGATGCAGCTGAGAGCACCAGCCCACCAGCACAGGCAACATGACTATATGTCCAGTGCAATGTCATATTCATGGGAATAGTCTAGTAGTGAATGGAATGGCTGTCCTTGTGCACTGTCCATTGCAACTGTATTTGTAAAGACCATGTTTCTTGGAGCTGGCCCCAGTTGTGAGGTATGCTTTTGCTGGCTTCCAAGTCCTGCTCTGCATTTTGTTGAATCAGGACTCAGGAAGTCTCTAAACATGCTTTGCAAAAGTGAGGCAGCACAGCAGGCTAGCAGAGGTGCTCCGTTTTGCACAGGCTACACAAGTTCTGACTATGTTCTGAACTGTTTTTAGCTTGACTGTATTTAGCTCATGTATTATGAGCTCCTGTGTAGGAGAAGCATGACAATAAACCACATTTATTAAATTAGAGACGTCTGTGGTTTTCCACCCCCCCAGCCCCTTTCTGGTAAAACAAAAGGAGCTAGACTGCATCTTTTTTAATTAAATGAAATGTGTTCTGTGCAAGGTGGCATGTTGGTGCAGTGTTTAGCATTGCTGTCCTGGGCCCTGTGATCAAATCCTGGGCTGCTATCTGTGTGGAGTATGCATGTTCTCCCCACGTTCATGTGTGGTTACTCCTGGTGCTCTGGCTTCCTCCCACAGTCCAAAGACATGCTGGCAGGTTAATTGGCTTCTGGAAAAATTGGCCCTGGTGTTCTGTGTCTGTCTGCCCTGCAATGGACTGGTGTCCTGTCAAGAGTGCCCAGGGTCATGCCTTGCACTCATTGCCTGCTGGGATAGACTCCGGCTCCCATGTGACTCTGAATTGGAAGAAGCGCTTCGAAAATAAATGGTCTACGCAATGTGTTAGCATATTGCAGATCCTCTTGTTCATTTTCTAATGGACACAGCCAAGCTATTTTCTTCACCTCTTGTACTGTTACTGGTGGTCAAATATTGAAGCCATTCCCCCTGTAAGCATAGCTGTGCTTCCTGTAAGGAAGACCACAGGCTATCAGGTCACAAGTCATTTTCACTGAGCCCCTTGCTAACGCACTCACCCTTCAGTACCATACATTTTCACTCTCATAAAGACGACCCTGCCAGGGTCGAGTTTGGGTTGGTGAAGCATAGAAATTGAGTTAGTCTTACAGTTGAATGTGGAGCGTAGGGTAAGGCTGAATATCTGGTTCAAATGCTGTGGTGAGAACTGGATCAGGCCAGGGGTGAGTAAGAAAAATGTTTGAGGAGGGGCGCGGTTAGGGGTTGAGTTACGGTGCATGATGGACCCCCGTTTCTACAGGACTTGTGCTTTGAGATGGTGCTTCCCATGCTGCAGTACCCCTATAACAAAACAGTCTAGATAAATCAAGAAATAGGTTGATGGAGACAGATGGATAGATCCAGATTAACAGACAGGAATACAGATCAAAAAGATCAAGATATAGACTGATACAAACAAAGATCCATGTTTATATCAGGCTAGAGGGAATGGTGGACAGAACAGAGTTAAGTCTTTCCCCATGAGAGTGAAGTCAGTGGGCTTCTTCTGTTTAGGAACAAGTAATAGGTTTATTCCATGCTGAAAAGTGAAGAAAGAAAACACAACGTTGGCTGTGGAGCCTTCTTCGGGTGGCCGAAACGTTGTGTTTTCTTTCTTCTCCTTTCAGCATGGAACAAACCTATGACTCGTTCCTTTGCAGCCTATGCATGCTGACGCAGCTACCCGCCTGAACTATTTCTCCTGTGCAGGACACTTTCAGAAGCCTAGTGGGTTAATGCACAGTGAAGGTGATTGTGGTTGAGTTCGCCGGGGTCCTGTGCTCACACTGTAGCCTCTCCCTCGCATTGCCATTGCCTTGAGCTTCCCTGCGTTTCTCACTGCCTCTTTGTGCCCGATTCTCTCCATGAAAAACACAGGCCACCAGACAGAAATGGGCTGTACTGCACTGCCCCCATTGTCCCCCACATCTTCGATAGCAACAGCCAGCGCACAGCTCCCTAGTCAAAGCTTGCGCCTCTCAATCTGCTGTGAAGTGGTGAGGGTACCCACCCGTGGGCACACAGCTGGCCAATGGAAAACAGCTGTGCGCCCCTTGGCTTGTCATCCTCCATTCAAAACTATCTAACAACTTCAGCATTGAGAAGGAAAGAAAAAAGTTCATACCTCAATGCAGTCAGATCTCGCCCTCCAGACTCGGTTACCCGTCTCTCTCTGGGTCAGTGATGCTGGCTGTGTGTCTTTTCCCGTCTTCTGGCGTTCCTTCCGTCTCTCTCCCCTCTCTAATCCTCCCTGCGCAAAGCTCACGAGACACACTCGTGTGTCCTCCTTGTCCCGTCATGTTTTAAGCTCTTACTTGTTGCTCAATTTCAGCAAAGCTCACCCCCCCCCACACACCCACACTCCCCACACATACCTCCCTCTCTCTCTCCCCTTCTTCCCCACCACCACCTCCCTGGGGCTTCCCAGCTGAAGTCAACTTCTCCTTCCCCCTCGGGGCTGGGCAGAGGGCGACAGGCCGCCCAGAAACAGACTCGGAAACCCAGAGGAATCGGATTCAAAGCCCAGTAATCCGACAGCCGCCCGTCAGGCACAGCACTGTCATGCTGGCCGCGACCAGCGTATTTTTAACCTGGGTTAAAAAAAAAAAACAGAAGGATATGGTTATTCAAAAAGAAACAACTAAAAAAATTAAGTATAGTAAAGCTTAGTTATTTGGTTTTGGTGGTACAATATTTCAGTAGTGTAGTGGTGTTATTTGGATCCTCAGCATTAAACTAGATGGAAATATCATGAAAAGGAAACTGCACCTCTTTCTGTCTGGTTTAATTATAGTGAAATGTGCTTTTGACACATTTATTGATATTTTTGAAACGTAGCGGAAAAATAAAATGTACTGAAATATATTCAATTCCCCCAAATCCCAGCAGTGCTGGTTTCTCACCCCTCTGCCACACTGAGAAAAACGATCACAAACCACTCCAGATGCTTTTTAAAAGTCTTTATTTTTCACTTTTTAAACTGTCAAGAAGGAAGCTCTAGAGGTTTAATCTTTTATTTTTAATTTCATTAGATATATATAGGGAACATTTTTTTTCTTGACAAGTTGTTCTTGGTACTGATAGTCTCTTTTCTTTGCTGCATTTATATTATATTTTATTGATTGACAGACTGTTTTATTGCAATAAACGAGAGTAGCCTGCAGGAGTTAAGTATTGCTACAGTTGGGCAAACCCTTCGGTCCTGTCGTCTCTTTCCCTTGGTGTCTGTTTCCCTGTGCCAGTGTGATGAGGGGCAGGGGGAGGGAGAGGAGAAGGGGGGATAGTGGTGCATTCCTGCCACCGCCAACAAAGCTGGCCGCTTGCTGAACAAGCCTCTCGTCTTTAAAACTTGTAAATAGACAGACCTAATCTAGACGAAAATAGGGGGGACAGGGTGGAGCAAAGAGAGTTGGATAAGGAACATGAGTTTTAATTTTTTGGCTTAAACCTTAAATATATTAACCACGTCATTAACTAAATATATCAAGAAGGTTATCTTTTCTGCAGTTTTCCATGTAAACAGCACTATTTTGCTGGGACAGTAACGTGTTCACACAGGGCCTCCCCCCACCACACTTCAGGGAATGGAACAGTCTGTTTCCCCTTGAACTAGAGCCTGTGTTGTGGATGAGACACAGCTAACCTGTCCTGGGAGGGCAGGACACATGCTCTGACCATGAAGCCAACAAGATTCTTGGATATCGGAGACAAGCTGCTGGAAATATCCAGAATATACTGTATAAAGCGCCTTTTCTCCCACAAGGCTTGTCCATTAACAAATGCATAGACTGGGCTTCTTGAAAACTCTTTCTTCTGTCCTTTCTTGGTTACTCTCCTGCCTCCGTGTCCCAGCCGATGGCTTAAAGCAGTAAGCCCCGCCTCTCCAGCAAACGCGAGTGAGCGACGGCTGGCAGGTGATTGTCCAGATCCTCCAATACCCAGACGCTCCTCCTTCAGATCTTGGAGTAAGACAGCCAGACCAACTGACAGCCTTCAGCCTGGCCATTCACACGCCCGGGCCAAACAGAGGGCCGTATTCATAAAGCATTTACCGAATCGCTAAGTGTACTGCACTTTAAAAAAAAAAAACTTACTACATAACAAAAGTCAAATAAAAATTACTTATCCATAGAACTTATCCACAGCTGCACTTGCAAACTGACACACAGCATGGCGAATCTGAATGAATGCCAATTACATGCACCTCCAAATAAGATTTTGTTTAAAAGCGCTAAGTGAAAACAACTAATTTTAGGGAACAGACGGGCAATTCCACACGCGATGCTCTTGGTGGAAAACAAGTTTGAGCAAAGTCTCCTGAAACGCCGATGTGATGCAGTCACAGCTGGACTGTAACATTTCATGCTAGGGCCTGGCAGAAGTGCATTCTTCTTTCAATACTTTTGCATTACATGAAAGATGAGTTCCGGGCTGCATATTTCAAGGAAGATGTCTGGAAAGTATTAAAAAGGTTTCTCTCCTTCTCCCTTTTTGGTTTCCGTTAAGTTATGTCTGGTCATGGCCTATTAGTACATTTCTTCATGAGCCTGTAGCCTGTTTTACCTTCAGTGTGCACCACGATGGCCAGCCTTAGTGCCTTCTGTCTTGTAGGGATGGATGTGGGTACACTTCTGTTCAGGAACTGGAGATCCAAGCATCGCTGTGGTTTTAATATCAACACTAAACAATATACTTAGCTAAACCATCACAGATGAGAATTTAACACATTCCTACTGTAAGCATGAAGAGGCTTCAGGAAACGTTAAGACACTTTCACGCTCCATGACGTGAAGAGTACAAAGAGGTTGTGAAGCAGATCAACTTGGACAAAGCAGCACAGCACATATTTAAAAAACAGATGGTGAAACGAAGGAACATTTAGACACGTCAAAGAGGAGCTCCACTTGTCCCATCGCACGCCTTCAGATGAACAGCTTGCTCTTGCTTTGGTCAACACAAGGACAAGCTGTGCTCTTCCAAACACAATGGTGATATGATCGTGATGAAGGCACTGACAGACAGTCATCATCTGTGAGACATGCGTACCCGTGCTCAGCTGAGAGACACTGAGGACTAAGGAGCACAGCCTGAGAAAGGGGCATGACTATACCTAGGCTTAGACTAATAACCATGTTAAGTAAGCAGAGCTGACAAGGAGAAGGCCTGTGAAATAGGTCCTCCGCCATGCTGCCAGTGTATCCCAATGAAATAGATCTTCTCAGAGCCTAGTATCATACATTGTTCTTCATACTGCTCTATTCTGCAATCTTGTCCGGCTGTTCCTTGAAGCATACAGGAGAGCCCTCAGCCCTTGGGCAATCTCTTTTTGTGTAACGGGTTTCACCATTACCCCTCTTTCCACATTTTCAGGACTGTTGGAATCCTCTGACCCAACAACTAAACGAGCCACACAGCCCAAATGGTCTCCTATTGTTTGGGACAGTTCTGATGTCTCTGAACTCCTCGGCCAACAGCGGGGGTTGCTAGGAGGGGCAGTTTATTCATATAGTAAAGACCCAGCCCAGCCCGCATTCCTTGTAGCATATCAGAGCAGGAGAGACTGTGTGTGTGGAAGAGGAAGTCTCATTTCTCCTCCTGTCAGCACGTTGCACACTGGGCCTGAGTACACTTCTGTCCCTGCCTGCCTCCCAGTCCCCCAGGCCCCCTGGCCCCCAATAAACTCCTCCCCCCGCCTGCCTCTCAGCCCCACACTCCCTGCCTGCTGGAGTGCATGACCTGCAGCCTCTCGCATCCACATACAAAAATACTCATTTCTCGTTTTGTAATTTTCACATCGCTAGTTTCTCATCAGTATGTTCTACAAGAATAAAACAAAACTATAATCATTAATAATAACAAATAATTCATCATCATCATCATCATCATAAAACAATTAAAACAGATGCATTGCATGGCTTTAGATTCAGGAAAGAAAGTCATAATGGAAAGACAGAGGAAGAAGGTCACTTCCTGTGACCTTTGGACTTTTGCGCTGGTTGCTGCCCTGGTGTCTTTTCTCTCTCCTGAGCCCCACACCTCTCTGTCCCTGTGGGGTGCTGAAGTCCGAGGAGTGCCAGGCCAGTCACACGTTTCTCCTCTGAGTGTTTCACTCATCACTTTCTTCACTCCTTTCTTCGGCACTCTGCCGATCCTGATCCAGACACTCTGCCCCTTTCCTTCGCTCTTTTTTATTTCCTGTCCTCTTGCATTTACCTGTCCCAGATACAGTCCGTAGATCCCTGACACCCACCCCCTGCAATCTTCCAACTGTCCGCTTTGTGTCTCTTTCTTTTTGAGCTCCGTAGATTAAGCGTTCCCTCCCTCCCTGCTCTCTTCTGCACAAAGCAAACCCCCAGCCCTCTCTCCGTCTGTGTAAACTCTGAGAGCCTACAACCCAGACGCAGGTTGACCCACAGCACTGCGTGAAACAGCCCCTACACCTCTATCAGCGAGCTGGCCTGTCTATCCCTGCCCAGCACAGGAAGAGCAAGGCGCTATACTGGCTTTACCGCTGGGCTGGTTTTGGGCTAAAGCTCTACTTGGGGTAGAGGGATTAGGATGGGACCCTACAGAGGTGTGTCAGGTGCAAATCACAGCAACAAGCATCTAAGAGCATCATGGTACACAAGACTGGCCCTGTGTCAGAGTCAACACAGCCAGGATAACCACTAAACCTTCATGAGACCGCACAGGGTGATGAAGAGGATTGCACAATGCAGTATTACTGGCAGCCAACTGCCAGTGTTGCCAACTTGCAGCCTGATGTAGTCAGATCCCAGAAGCTCAGGCTGGCCCTGATCAGTATCGGGACAGGGGACCTGTAAGGAAGACCAGGTCGACGCTCTAAGTAGTGCTGGTGGACCAGTAGGTGACACTCTTCCCTCTGGACCAGAACATACAAACTAATACCCCTGTACAGTGACCAGGGACCCTGCTCTGTCAGAGATGCTAAAATTCAACCAAGGACCCACCTACTTTGTCACTAATGATCCCAGGGCACTATTCGTAAGAGGGGTGCTCACCCCAGTGTCTCGGCTAAATTCCTCTTTGGGCTGTACAGTCTGTCCTCTCTACAGCTCCCCATTAATCCACCGGGAGCAGCAGTGTCTGTCTCTTCCCCTGAGCTGCTGTGCAGTGAAGCTGCTGGGTGTCTCCCAGGTGGGGCTGCACTTCAGTGGTGGATGAAGTGGGTCCCTTTATTTGAGTAAAGTGCTTTGGAGTCCTTTGGGATGAAAGGCGCAGTATAAATGTAAAGAATTAACTTGTAGTGTAGTGTGGTGTATTAGGGTGCAGTTCTGCTGGGATTTGTACTGTTATTTCTGGGAAGAGAGAAAAGGAGGATGCTGTCGATGGCTTGGCCATGTCATCTTGAGGAATTCTGCACTACCGCCCCATGTCGGTTTCCAGGATTTTGGAGAGGGAGGATGCTGTCAGCTTACAGGGGTGTTCAGAGGAGTGGGGGTGTAAGCAGAGGTAGGTGGAAGTGCACTGAACATCTCCCTGCCCTCCCCACTTTCCTGCACACCGGCAGCAGTCAGGAGCACTGCATGAGCAAGCCTCTGGACAGAGAGGGGCCCAGTGCAGGGAAGATGCCACTTGTTTTGTCTGTTTTGCTTGTAATGTTTCTCTGTCCTTCATTCTATTTTTCAGCCTTTTCTTTCTTTCTTTTGGATGTTTTTTCTTAATCTGTTTATGTTACTTATTGACTTATTTGTTTATCACAGTGTGCTTTCGGAAGTGCTTGCTGATTGGCCGTGAGGTGGGGAGGCGCGTCAGTATGGGGAGAAGAGGATTGGCCCATGAGAAGTGCGGATGGGCCCGGGGGCGGGTCTCAAGAGGGCGTGGCCGAGGGGCGGCCCCTGCAGTAGGTGGTGGTGCGGGTGGTGGTGGGCGGGGCCTGCAGCTGCCCGGAGAGCCAATGGGTTTGAGGAGGCGGCAGCTGCCATCGCTGCGGCAACAGCCAAGGGGCTGGGCAAGAGGCCAGCTCCCAGAGCTTTCGGGAGGTCCTTGTGGAAGGGCAGAGTTGACTGCAAGAGAGAAAGGTGGAGAGGGCAAGGTAGACAGGCGGAGAAAGGGCAGGGCAGGGAGAGAAAGGGAGACAAGAAACTGATTAACCACTAATCTCATAGTCCTTCACAATCAAATCATGAGCAAGACTGCTTCTTTTTGGAGTCTAGTTTACAGATCAAAATGGGGGAGACTAATGTACTGCTTCCCTAACTAAAACCAATCTTTCACCTAATCCCAAAAGAAAGAAAGCAATTTTATACATCAACCTTTGTGTTGATCATTTGTACTCCAAAAAATGCATATGGGAGAAAGGAGGGAGACAGGACATGATGAGGACAGGGAGAGAGGAGGGAGACAGGACAGGGACAAAGGACCAGGAGAGAAGAGGGAGACAGGACATGATGAGGACAGGGAGAGAGGAGGGACACAGCACAGGGACAGAGGA